CCCCCCCCTCCAGGGCCGTGCCCGTGCTGGGGGTCCTGGCGGTGCTGCATTTGGGGGGGGCCCTGGGGGCGGTGGGCGCCGTGGCGGCTCTGGGGGGGCCCCCGGCGCTGCTGCTGCTGCCGCGGGCGCTGTTCGGGGCTCTGGCGGCCGCGCTGGCTCTGGGGGCTCTGGGGGGGCTGCGGCGCTGCGGGGGGGGCCGCGGGAAGCGGGGGGGGGCGCGGACGGGGGTCCCGCGGCTGGTGGGGGCGGCGGGGGCCGCGCTGAGCGCGGGGCTGCAGCTCTTCGGGGCGCTGCAGGTCTGGGGGTGGGGGGTGAACCCCCCCCCGGGGCCCTGGGCCTGGTGGGGACTCCAGCTCGGGGGTCGCCTGGCCGACATCGCCATGGGGGCGGCGCTGGCGGCCTTGGCGTTCGTGGCCCCCCCGAACCGCTGCGGCGCCTCCGGGGACTCCCCGGAGCCCCCCGAGGGCGGCGGGCGGGGGGGGGAGGAGGCGGGGGGACCCCCCGAGTCCCCCTTCGAGTGTGACGGGGACCCCACGGCCGGGTACCGACCCCCCTCCCCCATCGACCTGCGCCGCTCCATCGACGAGGCCTTGGGAGCGCCGGGAATGTTCCGCATCGGGAACGGCGGGATCGGGGGCCCCGGGAACACCGGGAATACCGGCGGCGGCGTTATCAGGAGCACCGGGAACGCCGGGAAGGCCAAGAACAATGGGATCAGCATCATCGGCAGCTCTGGGAAAACTGGGAGCAATGGGAGCACCGGGATCAGCGTCATCAGCACCACCGGGAACACCGGGAACACTGAGAACATCGGGAACACCGGCACCAGCACAACAGTGTTACCGGGGGTCGGCACAACCCAGGGCATGGGCACAACTGGGGGAACTGGGATGGGCACAACTGGTGTGACTGGGAGTGGCACGGCTGGAACAACGGGAACCACCACAGCTGGAACCCCAGGAACCACCACTGCTGGAACCCCAGGAACAGCCACAGCTGGAACACTGGGAGCCACCACAGCTGGAACCCCGGGAACCACCACTGCTGGAACATCAGGAACCACCACAGCTGGAACAATGGGAACCACCACAGCTGGAACACCAGGAACTGCCACAGCTGGAACCCCAGGAACCACCACTGCTGGAACACCAGGAACCACCACAACTGGAACATCAGGAACCACCACAGCTGGAACACCAGGAACCACCACAGCTGGAACACCGGGAACTGCCACAGCTGGAACATCAGGAACCACCACAGCTGTAACCCCAGGAACCACCACAGCTGGAACACCGAGAACCACCACAGCTGGAACACTGGGAACTGCCACAGTTGGAACATCAGGAACCACCACTGCTGGAACCCCGGGAACCACCTCAGCCGGAACACCGGGAACCACCACAGCTGGAACATCAGGAACCACCACAGCTGGAACATCAGGAACCACCACAGCTGGAACATCAGGAACCACCTCAGCCGGAACACCGGGAACCACCACAGCTGGAACACTGGGAACTGCCACCTCTGGAACACCAAGAACCCCCACCACTGGAACCCCAGGAATCACTACTGCTGGAACTGCCGGGACCGGCAGCACCGGCACCAAGGGGGGTGACAGAGCTGGCACAGCTGGCACAGCTGGCACAGCCAGTGCACCTGGCACTCATGGCACAGCTGGCACAGCCGGTGGGACGGAGCTCAGCTCCCCCGGCCCTCTTGGCACAACTGGGGGCAGCGGAACAGCAACACCAGGAACTGGCACCGCCAGCACACCTGGGACACAGGTACCAGGCACCACGAGCACCGCCGGCACAGCTGGCACAGGTGGCACAGCTGGGACACAGGGTCCTGGCACCCCTGGCACAGCAGGTCCTGGTACAGCAGTTCCCAGCACAGCTGGCACGGCCAGCACACAAGGTCCCACCAAACCTGGCACACCTGGCACCACTGGCACAGTGGGCATGGCTGGCACAGCTGGCACCGCTGGCAGCCCTGGCACACAAGGTCCCACAAAACCTGGCACCCCTGGCACCCCTGGCACCCCTGGCACAGCTGGCACAGCTGGCACAGCTGGCACAGCCGGCGCACGGGGTCCCAGCACGCGGGGCCCCCCCACCGCCCCCCGCCCCTCTGCTCTGTCCCGCGCCGCCTCTTTGGGGGGTCCCCCCGCGGGGTCCCCGGGGGCGCGGGGAGGGGCCCGGGACACCCCCTCCCCCCCGGGGACAGGCCCGGGGGGGGCCGACCCCCAGCACCCCCCCGCGGGGACCCCCCGGGGCCGGGCCCCCCCCCGCGGCGCCCCCCCCAGGGCGGGGCCGGGGGGCCCCCCCGCCCCCCCCCCGCCCCCCAAGCCCACGGTGGGGGGGTCCCCGGGCCCCCCGGGGACGGCGACAGCCGCAGCCCGGGCAGTGACACCATAGACTTGTAGGGTGCGGGGGGACCCCCGGGGCGCCCCCCAACACACCCGGGGGGGCTGTGGAGAGACCCCGGCCCGGCCACCCCAGCCAGGGACCCCCAGGACCCCCCAAGTCCCTGAGACTCCCAAATAGGGGTGAAGACCTCGGGACCCCAAATTCCTGAGACCCTCAAGTGCTGATGACAATCTGGGGACCCCCAAGATGTCCCCCCAGGTCCCCAAGACCCCCCAATATGGGTAACAAGCTGCCCCTCCCCCGTGTCCTTGAGACCCCCCAAGTGCTGGTGCCAATCTGGGGATCAACCACCCCCAAAGATCCCGAGACCCCCAAATACGGGTGACAACCTGGGGACCCCCAAGTACCTGAGATCCCCCAAGTGCTAGTGACCACATGAGGGCCCCCCACAAGTTCCTGAGATCCCCAAACAGGGGAGACAAACTGCCCCCCCAAGTACCTGAGACCCCCAAAGAGGAGTGAAAACCTTGTCCTCGACACCCTCAAGCTCTGGTGACAATCTGGAGACCCCCCCCAGGTCCTCGAGACCCCCCAAACACGGGTTACAATGTGGGTACCACCCAAGTCACTGAGACTCCAGGTGCTGGGGGCAACTTGGGCAC